CGCAAATTTTCATGTATTTCTGGTTCAATCTTAAAAATATTCATATGGCTGAAAAGAAAATCTTTCTAAATATGTAATTTGTATGTGCTTTTATTCATTGAATTATTTTTTTATAGCGAGTTAAAATGGTATTTTGCTTTGAACAGCTGAAAATGCAAAATGAGTTTTTATTTTTGACTAAATTTTTACATTACTTCACAAAATCAAAGTGACCAATCAATATTCTTGAAATTTTATACACACTCGATTAAAATAAAACGCCTTAAAATCCAACCAGGAAGATGTTCATTTCTTCTCTGACCCATGAAAGTGAATTCCTTCAAAAATTATAAAGTAAGCTGAGCAGCAAAAAAAAGATTAACTCATAGTATGTGTGGTAAAAGAACTTTCAAATTATTGAAACTACTGTCTTGTCGCGTAAAATACTTTTAACTTTCAAGTTTTGTTTTTTGAAACCTGTCATTGTGGAAGTAAGAGGTCAATATTTGGTTTTAACCAATGGTAATAAAAAATTTATTTATAGACATGCATTACAGACCACTGCAATTGAAAACTGTGAATTAGGGTGGGTAATAGTAGGAATTGTTCACCTAAAAGGTTTTTTTTTTTTTTTTTTTTTTTTTAAGATAATTTAGTGATAGAATTCATAACATAGATTTAAAGTTTATTAAGCTTTTGAATTAATTGTCAACTTTAATAACTACTACATTTATTAACAAAATATGAAAAATCGTCACATAAAATATCTATATTTGTGTCTTTGGACAACATATTCTTGAGAGAAAATGGTATACTATAGCTCTTCAGAAATGTTTATGATGTGGCTTTAAAATAAACAAAAAATGAAAATAAATGTTTAAAAAAAATTAAAAATATGGCAATTCTTTTCTGGTATGCCAGGCAACTGTTATTGGGGGTTTGAATAAATTTTTTTCTAAACAAGGAAAAAAAATCAATTGTTTATTTTTCCTCTAAATAAATTTGTTTTTATTTAGCAAATAAACCTAAAATTAAATGTTAAAAATAATTAAAAGCTTTTAATTTGATTTTTAGAATTTGTAGATTTCCAAATCTTTTTTAGATACACATTTTAAACCTGAAATTAAAAACTATTTTAATCATTTTAATATAATCTTACTTAAATGTACTCACCAGGTAAAACCATAAAGATATTTGTAAAAATAAAATGAATTAATTCTCCTTGTTTAGAAGAATTTTATAGATAGAACAGTAACAAACTCAAACACCCACCAAACACTAGTGGCTAAAAAAGAGTGGTTTTTACTTTGGGTTTAAAAACAAATGACTTGAAGTTTTGAAAATGTACACATTTTAAAACGGATTAAAACTTACTTTATTTTTTTAATATCCAATTTTAGGTGTATTGTTTGCTAGATAGAAACATAATTTTATTTGTAGAAAACAGACAATTTTTTACACTAGCGACTCGCATATCTAGAAATGTACACATTTTAAAAGTGAAATTAAGAACTGTTTTAATTCTTCTTAATATCTAATTTAGGTGCATTCCCTAAATAAAAAACAAATTTATTCATGAAAAAAGACCTTCATTCATTTTTCTTTAGTTTACAACAACTTTATTTCGTCATCTGCGTACTATTGGCTTACTTGAAAACAATTATGTACAACCCTTACAAAAAAATCCAACTTCATGAAATTTAACATTAAGACGAAACTGGCAACTATTTTTTTTTTTTTTTTTTTTTTTTACTTGCTATTTTATTGACTTAATTTTACCGCAATTTTTTTTTTTTTTTAAACTGAAGAAACAAATGAATTTCAGACATGTATTTCCTTTTTTCTTCTTCCTTTTTTTCGTAAACTAAACATATAGATTTCCCATTTATTTCCTAAAACTAGTTAATTAAATGTCTTTAACATATTTTTGTTCACTCTTTTTCTCTTACAATGCTATAAATGTTGATGAAATTTAATTTTATTAACAATTAACATGTCTTTTTCAATAGTGTTTCTTTGGATATGGTCACTCAGTAGTGACAGCACTTAAAAACAAAAAAAAAAGAAAGATTTCAGTTTTGTAAAAAATTTCGATGCGGATCATGGTGTGAAAATGAAACCAAAAAGTCGTCTTTTTTTTTTTTTTTTTTTTTTTTTTTTTTTTTTGCGGTTAAACTGCCCATCAAGGGCTGGCACAGTATCTTGGTCAGAAGGTCTTGGTGAACAATGTGGAATCCTGCTTCTAGCAGGTGTAGGGTTGACCAGAGTCTGAGGTTTGGTTATTTTCCACTGTTAACATCTTTTTCTAAAATCTCTTGTTGCTTACATCTAGAAATGGATTGATTGCCCAATCAGGTAACTCGAGCTAAAAACAAAAAAAAAAAAAAATCACAAAATCTGTTAGACATATCTATGTGCACAATACATTTGAAGGTCATCATCTGGTATGTTTTCCTCCACTTCAGTAAGTCATTAGAAGCAAAAGGTTCACAACAGACTCTGTAACTTAGACAAAAACATGGTTGGATTTGACCCTGATAAGTTTAATTTCATTTCCTTGTAGTTGTAAATTAACTTCATTGAACTTGTTGAATATATTGGACAAGTAAGCAATGTAATTTGTTTCTAGTTCATTACAAAGAACAGAATTTGAATCTTTGAAGAATTCAACAATATTGTTAAATAGAGAATAGAAATGGCTTCAGTGGTTTCCCTTTGATAGTCAAGTAACTTCTGTATGCAAAAACAAACATTCAAAATATTCACCACTCTCATGGAAGAGTTGTTGAAACAATCATGAATTGAGAGAATGTGCTTTTAATTTATTTATTGCTGTGATAACAGTGCTCAATGATTTGTGAAGTCAACCACTTAGGTTTTTTGCAACCAGATGTTGCCTGTGGATTATACAATGTACTGCAAAATGCACAGCTTTTTACCAAGAAACTAATAAAAACACCATCAATGATTCACCGTCTGTTGCACAAACAAGGTGGTTTGTAAGTGAAATGTCTTTTCCTTTGAAATAGTTCTCAACAATGTAAAATACTGACTCCCCTTTTGTGTCTCTTTAGTTGTCTTTCAACTATTCATTCCTCTTTTATGAAACAAACATAAGCAAGAAGTAGATGTGTGACGTCACGGGGCTGCCCCAGGCTCTGATGTCCTGGTCATGGCGTCGATTGTGACGTCGTCCTCCGGTCGCAGCGTCGACTGTGTCGTTCTATCCTGATCTACCATGGCGCCAGTTGTGACGTCCCTAACAGCACCAATTGTGACGTCTTCGCCGCGGCGTCAGCTGTTCGCTCCTCGCTGCTCCAAACGTGACGTTCTAACCCTTTTATGATCCGGGTAGGAATCTGGTTAGATTGATACCAGCCTCGCCGTTCCCAACCTGCTTCCAACGCCTGGTGCCAGGGTAACTGCACTGATCTTCAGTCTGCCTACCCACGTTGTGAATTGATCTTAGACAGACGAGATCAAACAGGGGTTGGGGCCGTAATGCAAGCTGAGTTCAACGGGGGTGATAATACACAATTATGTATAAAAGAAAATAAAATGAAAACTCACAAAGTCCAAAGTATCAAAGAAAAAGGTAACAAACTTTTATGTCTATTTGTTCGGTACATAGGACTATGTCTACTTCCCGACCCGTTCTGTGGATTGTGGCACGACGCTTTCACTAGGCAACTTTAAGGCTTCAAGTTGTCTGCTCTCTAAGAAATTTGTGTTTTGGTGTGTCTTTGGACGAAAGTCGAAAAACTTATTTCTGTGGTCTGATTCTAAGTCGCTCTTCAAACTACTTGTTCTTGGTTGAAGAAGAGTCCAAAAGTGTGCGTGAATCTTGGTCAGCTATCTTGACGCGGTTTCAACACTGGGCGCTCATCTCTGCTTGTCGTCCAAGGCTCAAACTTCTCACCAGGGTCTGCGGCTGACTCAAACTTCTTCTCTCCAGCTTGGGTCGAACGAACTTCTTCTCTCCAGAGTCGGAACTAACTCTGCACTCAGGCCAAACGAACTGATTTCTGTCGGTTGGGGTTTCGCTTTTATTGACGCCGTCAAAACTGGGGTGGGTCTGTCGGCGCCAGGGGTTCTTTGATAATTCTAAATACGTATCCACCCTTCTTATTTCTGGTTAGGGATTTTTCATTCTTTTCCATTTTCGGTAACTCTCCTCTCACTACCACTCCCTTACTGTGCCTCTGAGGGGCGTGTACCAACTTCCCCACTTCTTCGTATTGGTTCCTCACACTTACACTTCTGATAGAGGCGTCAACTGATTTTCTTCGTGCGTCACGTGACCGCTCTTGGCCAATGAGGTCCTGGTCGGGTATCTTTCCTCCTCCATGTGTCATGATCTATTTGGCCATTGACGTCTTAGTCGGGTGTGAACAATCCGTGGCTTTGTTTTGGGAAAGAAATACCTTGCTTAAAAAACAAAAATATTAATTAAATCGCCCTTATCATAAGCGACCGAGATGACACTCTCGGCTTCTTAACACGTGGTATTTGTCAAGCAGTTTATCGCTAATTGGATATGATCTAAGAAAGGAATTTCTCCAGGCTCGTTGGCGTTTTTGAAAAAAAATAAAAATATTTCATTTTCCTTTCGCTCGAAGGTCTGATAACAAAAATCTTTATTATCGCAGGGCAAGCATTTATTCTGTCAAAAGAAAGAAAAATTTTGCCAGTGACAACATCTTGTGTGGGATTTTTTAATTCTGAAGACTCTGTGTTTTCGTATTAATGGTTTGTCTTCATATCCTTAGATACACTTCCCCACCCACTTAGACCCTTACTATCATTCCATTCATTTTCCTTCGGTTCATGTGTCTGATAACAAAATTTTATTTGCCGTGGAAAATCCGGTCGGTGAGAATGCCTCTGTGGGATTTTAATTTTTCATATCTAACTACGGTTCTGTAGCCACACCTGTGTTTTGTCAAAACATTAACGTTTTTAAATGGACTTTACTTTGGCAAACATTTCTTAACAACACAATTCCATTATCTCTATTTTAGTCACTTATCGAAATAAAAAATTTCGTTCGTTTTTCTTTTCTTTTCTTTTTTCTTTCTTTTCTCGTTTTCTTTCTTTTCCTCGTTTTTCTTTCTTTTCCTCGTTTTTCTTTCTTTTCCTCGTTTTTCTTTCTTTTCCTCGTTTTTCTTTCTTTTCCTCGTTTTTCTTTCTTTTCCTCGTTTTTCTTTCTTTTCCTCGTTTCTTTCTTTTCCTCGTTTCTTTCTTTTCCTCGTTTCTTTCTTTTCCTCGTTTCTTTCTTTTCCTCGTTTCTTTCTTTTCCTCGTTTCTTTCTTTTCCTCGTTTCTTTCTTTTCCTCGTTTCTTTCTTTTCCTCTTTCTTTTTTTTTTCGTTTTCTTTCTTTTCCTCGTTTCTTTCTTTTCCTCCATCATTTCTTTCTTTTCCTCGTTTCTTTCTTTCCTCGTTTCTTTCTTTTCCTCGTTTCTTTCTTTTCCTCAACAAGATTTTCCTCGTTTCTTTCTTTTTGACAATTTTACAGACCTTTTCTTTTCCTCGTTTCTTTTCTTTTCCTCGTTTCTTTCTTTTCCTCATTTCTTTCTTTTTCCTCATTTCTTTCTTTTCCTCAGAAATTTCATTTCCTTGTTTCTTTCTTTTTCTTTCTTTCTTTTCCTTTTTCCTCGTTTCTTTCTTTTCCTCATTTCTTTCTTTTCCTCCTTTTCCTCGTTTCTTTCTTTTCCTCGTTTCTTTTTTTTTTCCTCGTTTCTTTCTTTTCCTCATTTCTTTCTTTTCCTCGTTTCTTTCTTTTCCTCGTTTCTTTCTTTTCCTCGTTTCTTTCTTTTCCTCGTTTCTTTTTTTTTTCTCATTTCTTTCTTTTCCTCATTTCTTTCTTTCCTCGTTTCTTTCTTTTCCTCGTTTTCTTTTCTTTTCCTCGTTTCTTTTTTTCCTCGTTTCTTTCTTTTCCTCGTTTCTTTCTTTTCCTCGTTTCTTTCTTTTTTAGCAAAATTTCTTTTTTTGTTTGTTTTTCCTCTTTTTCTTTCTTTTCCTCGTTTCTTTCTTTTCCTCGTTTCTTTCTTTTCCTCGTTTCTTTCTTTTCCTCGTTTCTTTCTTTTCCCTTGGGTGACATCCAATTGATAACAAAATTCCATTTTTCATGGACACGCGGAAATCGGTCAAATGCTTGTTCGTAGGTGACCTAGATATTTTCGACATCTGCTACCTGTCAATTATAGCCGTGTGTGTGTGTTCGCCTATGACCTGTTTTCGTATTATTTTTCTTTTTCTTTCTTCTTCGTTATCTCTTTCTTTCTCCCAGATCGCTGGAATGTAAAGAAAGAATTATTATTAAAACCCAAAATATTTTTCTGCCTTAAATAATTATTAAATGGTTGATAAACCGTAAAAAACAAATCATATATCTATGAATATTTCTTTCAAATCGTCAGGTATGCATGGTGCCACAGATGCATTGCCCAGCAGAGCAAACTCACCCAATTGCAAGCTAAATTCTGTATTCCTTAGCATGTTTTCTCAATATTTTCAACCATTTCATCCACTCTTTAAACAGAGTAGTCACTGAGAAATAGCCTTAATAATTTGTTCAAGTGACTTGTGTAAAACTGAATGCACAACTTCTCTTATTACTGGCAGAACAAGATCTTCTCCAATTGTATGAGTCTTACTAGATTTAGCAATCAGCAAGGAGCTGTGCTTTGAAAAAAGTCTTTTTAGTCGTAATAAAAACGAAAATATTCATGTCAATTTTTGATTTGGTTTATGTAGTTCTTGGTATAACAAAAATTAAATTTCCTATTAAAATCTCTTTAATGACACTTTTGCCTATTTGTGGAAATTTCTTGGGATTCTCTCGGTTGTAGGTCATGTAGGTTTCAGCAACTCCTTTGCAGCTGTCTTGTCTTCTGTCTGCAACTCTAACTCCATCTGTAGTTGCCTGGGGCATTTGAGCACTCCCCTTATATTGACTGATTGAAAATTGGAGTGGGGTTGATGGTGCTTGGGAATTTGGGGTTTCCCCAGGTTTCTGTATTGATTTAAACAAAGGTTCTTTGTTGTCTGGTTTTTAACATTCTCTCCAAATTTTGTTTATGCCAAGCATCAGTCCAATTGCAGGCATACCAGTGACTAATAAGTCTGAGTTTTCTCTAATTTATTGCAAAAGCTTGTCTTTTGGGGTATCTTGAGTTTCTTTTTATCCTCCCTCCCTGAATCCTTACTTATTAATATCCACTGTAGTTAACTTTTGAGAACTTCTTTTCCTTAAAGGTTACAGTACTAAATAGATAAATGACATTGATGACTTAAATATTATTTCTCTGCTATTCTGTTTGGGAAATGTTTTGACTTCTAAACTAAAACCTGACTTTCAAAATGTTTGTTTAATCAATCTTTGGCTGAAATTAACTTCTCTCACTTTTTTAAACCTTGGTATGATTTTAGAAAAATAATATTTTTAAAACCACAGATTGTGATTCAGCATAGACATGCATTAACCTGACAGGAGCCCTAGAATGGGAACCTTGTGGCAATATTGGATTCTACTGAATTATGCAAATTAAATCTTGGCTCAAATCTTGATGCTTCACTAATTATTTTATTCATTAAATTGTCACTTCAAGCCTATTATGTTACGTGATTGATCTTGATTCTTAACTTAAATTCAATCTCTCTTGGTTTTGATTATTCTAATCTCAAACTGCAGAAGTTTTAAGTTTCTTATATTTGCAATTGGACACTTCAACTCTGTCAATAGTACTTGGAAGTCTATTGCATTTCATATACATTTAATTTTTGAAACTTTTTTTTTTTTTTTTTTTTTTTTTTTGTAGTTTAAAATTCTACGTTCTTTTTTTTAATTTGCTATATCCAAGCAGGATGTAGGCAATCATGGCTCTTATGGTTAAGTTTAGTAAATATATTTGTAAAACCTACACCTCCAACAGCCATGGTTATCCATAAAGGGACTAACAGGAAAGTGTAGCATGTGATTTATACCAAAAATTACCAGAAGTCTAAATGAAATTTAATATCCATCAGGAACCTTGAGCTAAGAATAGTCAATATATGTTGACTTTTGTAACCCTGTCTCCCATGTTGCTCTTCAGGTTACTTCAGACCACTGTAGTTACCATCTAGCTGACTCCTCACTTGTTAATGCATTGCTGGTTTGTCACTGGTATCATGTTGATGAACTCAGTTCCATATGATCTAGATGGCATTTGTCTGCTTCACGATCTTTCACTCAGTTGCCATGTTGTGTTTTTGATCTTAGAGGGTGAGAAGATCACTGAAGTAAACTGAAGAACAGGTTGACGGCAAGGAGCTACACAACAAAGAATTCTTTGGAATAAAGAATTAACTTGGGTTAAAAATGTAAGAACAATTTGGTTTATATACAATTTGTTATATACAGTGGTTTTAACCCTTTCCACTTACTTTTATAATCAAATGACACTGGAATTCCCTTTTGGAGTTTACAGCCTCTGTTAGTAGTAATTTAAATTTGTAAGTTCTGGTCTTCAGTGTCAGCATAAAGTCTTAGGAAGTCTTGGCAAATGATGTAGATTCCAGTAGCAGTAATGTGAGGACTCCTGTTGTTCTAACTTCCAGCTTTATGGAGTCATATGTCCGACAGGTGTGGGATTGACCAGTGTCTGTTATCTTCCACTCTTAGCATCAACCTTTTCCTAAGTTCCCATTATTTTCAAAATATGTTTACTCAAGTAATTTTCTAAATTTAGGGGTTGTCCAGCCCCCTTTTGAGAGTTATCAAAGGAACCAAGCTGCCCCTTAACTCCAACTTACCTCACGCCCCATCTCGCACCAATCTTCCATATTGGTGGTGCTAATCTCTCTCTCCCTTCTCCTACCTACTCAGTATCCAACCATAGCGCACTCCAAGGGCTGGGACAACTGTCTTTGTGATGAATTTAAACTTTCAGAATGCATAGGCAAAAAGGGGGTTTCCAGTAATTAATCTTTCTTTATCAGCTTGTCTTGTCACATGCTGGTTGTTTCAGATGATTTCTCGATCAACCAGGCCACATAGCCATCTTCCTATGGTCACTCCAGGGCTAGTAATTATTTTTTTCCTTATCACTTGTACCCAAAAGAATCCAAATTAATATCAGACATTACTAACATTTAATTACAAAAGCGGTGCACTCCTCCAGTGTTCAACATTGTTTTAAAATTTTTCCTGAATTTCTTAGGCTTCGATAATTTTTATCACGTTGTTTGATTGTTAATCTTTCCATGCTTGAAATTACCAAAAACTTAAGTTGTTAAATCTGAAAGAAAAATAAACAAATCATTAGACGCTTAATTCACATTTAAAACTGGTTCAAGTTATTGGAATGCCCTATATATGGAATACTGAAAGCTTCTCAGTTTGACCAAGAAGAGAAAAAAAAATTGCTCATTTGGTCAACATTTCACCATCACATTAAGATAGCAAGCTAAATGCCTATACAGAAAGTAAAGAGAAACTAAAATTCCTCTGATATTGATGGAAAAGTTTTCAGGATTTTGTGACTGTCAGTATCAGATTTTACAATCCTTATTTCCTCGTATGTCTTAGAAATTTCAACTGCGTTTTCCTGTGTCCTTTTTGTTTACATTTTATCTAAAACGTTATCGTTACTCACATGTTCGGTCCATGGAGGTCTCAGCATCTTTCTGTAGAACGACACTTCTGTTGCTTCAAGTCTCTTTATCTGTGAGATTGTCCAGTACTCACTGTCGTATATTTTTCCTATAGATTTCTATAAACTACTACAGTTTGCTGATTTTATAACCACTAAAGAGTAAATTTAAGACACATTTCTCAAACATTTATCCTAGGAACTTTTGCATTTCCATAATACATTTAATATGTGAACATAAGTATGAATAGAAAATGTTGATTATCTACAGATGTTTCTGTAAACTGTATGCAATATACTAGTTTGAAAAGTGGGCATGAAATGTTATAAGTCTGTTTGTCAAGTTAGTGTCACAATGTGCAGGTTATTTATAGGGTTCTGAATGAATGGAAATCATTAACTTAAGTGGTTAAAAATTACAAGTAGCTAATTTAATCACTGAATTGTTATATTCTTATTCTCCGTAAACTGATCTCCCACTTTAAATTCATGTATTTAAAGTAGAAATTAAGTTTATACATAGCAATGAAGTTTCGGACTAAATGTCTATTCCGTAAGGAAAATAGAAATTTTTCAATCCATATGATCAAATGAATTACTTTCTTAGACACCTGATATACAAGCTCTCTCTCTCTCTCTCACACACAGTGCATTCGTATACAGCCCACTTTGGATGTCATCACAACTGGTGTATTAACATGCAGAACTGCATTACCACACTTTTACATTAAGAACCCTCTGTAAATATTGTAAAGATTTTACATTCTTTGCAACAGCTCTAAATATTGTGAACTGGACATGTTGACTCGAGAAGTGTACAGTCCGACCGCTTTAATCCAGCACCTTTGAGACCTGGCCTCTACCGTACTACAGAAAATGTATGATAAATCACTCGTATGTAAACAGTCTTACCAGCTCATTCCATATATTGCTGTGTTAGCAATGCTTAAATCAGGAAATAAAACAATCATTAATGCTTCCAAACAATCTTTTTATTGTTTCATGCGATACCAAGGTTAAAAAAAAGCATAAAACCCCAAAATATTTACTTACTACCCTGAATGGATAAATATGCAGCTATATAAGAAATAAGCAAAATCATATCAAAAAACACTCTGCTACTACGGAAAGTTATAAACAATGTGTGATGCTGCTCTCGTAGCTGCTCAAAAACTAAGGGTGGCTGATTTATTAAAAAAGAAAAAAAAGTGCTAGATCATAGGTGTTACTGAACCACCGTACTGGATTAAAGAACTTGGACTATTTATGTTGAAATGATTCAAATGTGACTTGTCGAAGCAGTAACAAACCTCTCACAGATAAAAAATGTTGGAACACTTACAATCTTGATGCATTCCTTGTATACAACATGAATCAGTATCCTGTTTTAAAAGATCACTCTTTCTAATGAAGTCCTATCAAAATCTGATAATGCTCGTCACCAGAACAAAATTAAAA